TATATATATATATAAGGGCTAATATATTAACGTAGAAAATGTACATATAGGTTGTATGAGAGGGTCTAAAAGAAGGTTAAACTCACACAATACAACACACAAAAAAACTCAATAAAGCAAAGATACTTAAAGATAAAAAACCAAAAAGCCATCAACGACCGCAAAAGTTCTAGGGACATCCCACTTTAGTTGTAGTTCTCGGAAGGGAGTCAGCTAACAAATTGGTAAGGTGCGTACCATTACCCGAAGTAACCAAAGTATCATCCATCAGATTCCTGAGCTCAAGTAGGTCTCCATTTTTCCTCTTCCACCTGGATGTGTAGACCTGTCATTCCTCATCCGAGGATTGACTCATCTGATCAATGGATTGGTTCAAAGGTGGTTGGACAGATATATGTCGTTGCACATCCTGATCTCTATGAGTTTGAGTAACATTGACATCTTTCTGGACCTGATGAGGCGGTAGTGAAGCAGCGAAAGTATTTTTCACCTGTAATATCAATGATAGGTTTTAGGGCAGGCGGAGTCTAAAGAATCTCCATCGCCTCCATGATAGGAGGATCCAAAGACGAGGGAGCTATAGTGTGGTGTAGAGACTGAATGATTGACATATTGCATGCGGAGATAGTGACGTCTTCAGGGGTATCCTTTTGATGATCAATAGTGTCAATAACTTGGAGCTGATCAGGAGGACATGGAATCACTGTCTCTAGCAGAGCACTTTGCTTTTTTGGTCTGAGGTAGAGGTGTAGATGATGGCATTGAGAACTGGAGTGATCAAGCATACGACAATTCAAACAAGACGAAGAAAAATGCTAAATCTCTACCTTCTGCCAATATCCATAGTGTTGTGTGCCCAACTAGACTTCCTCAGAAGTGAAAGAAGTAATGTCTCTTTCAACAAGTATTATGGCTTCGATGGACGAGAAAGATTAAAAGTAGAAATGTTCGTCTTGAGTGGCTTATCATAAGCTGAGGCAATAGAGCAACACTTTTTGAGAAAAATAATGAAATTTCAGACCAGGGAGACAAATCCAAACCAGAATGATTTGTGGTTCTGTCTGTGGGTCAAATTCCACAGACCATTTCGGAATCTTTATTACTTTGTTATCAATCTAGATTATCCTTTTAGCAAATAAGCGTGTGTAATCTTATTCATTATTAATTTGAATAAGAATGTGTCTCCCATCTAATATTCTAATTTTCCACTCCCAAACAAGGTGCATAAGTTCAAATTTCTTGCGAATAAACTTCATTTTGGGATAACCATATAGAAATTTCCCAACCAAATTCAGACGGCATGAGGAAGCAAGTTGAATACCTTCAGCTTCCGTAAAAAAGATGGCAGACTTCTCATTCTTCCTACCAGGTTTCTTAATGTCCTCCGCCCACTCAAATGAGGGAGGAAAAGAGGACGATTTAGGTGTACCTGAAGCGTGGACACCCGTAAAAGCAGATGCATACGATCTATCCGAAGTCATCCTCAAAGATAGAGGTGTGGCGTTAAGAACAGAGAAGAAATCAGCTTTGATAAACACGAGAAGAATCGCGTCGAAACATCTGAAGTTGAAAAGGAGAACACGTAAGACGGGACGTGCAACAGAGGAGCCGCAGAAATCGTGCGTTGTACCCGCGAGACGGGAAAACGAGCCGTAGAACCCGCGAGACAGAAAATCGAGCCACAGAGGAGCCGCAGAGCCGGGAAAGCTTGTGAGACGAGAAGACGGGATACAAGCCGCGTTTCAGCGCGGGGAAAAACTCGTGAGACTGGAAGACGGGGATACGAAACTGAATCAGGCGCGAAGACGTCGGATAAGAAACAACAAAGTAGTAACATGTGTCGAAACCCTAGCAGTGTCGAGCGTGAAGGGAAACATGACTAATATATATATATATATATATAGTTACTGAGAATAACTTCATAGACAATTTTACTATCTAAATTTAATAGGCATTTATTAAGAAAATTTTCTAATATCAAATCCTTTATCTCATAGTTGACTAATACCTATCAAGTTATATTTTAATCCAACTAAAAGGGCCTTTTGATAAAAAAAAAGGAATCTTTTTTGCCAATATAACTCAAGCTACTTATTTTTCATGTAGTATTATCACCAAGCGTCCCTTTTTCACTTATTTTAGATTCTAGTGCTAAAAATTTACTTTTTGCACTAGCCATATGACTAAAGAATTTACTATCCAAAAACCACATGCCTTTATCCGCCTTAACGTGAAAGCTTGTTTGAATACAAAATTAGTTATTGATTTCAGGAACCCAACCGGAGTCCCTTATAAGAGAAAGGTGAATGCTTTCTATGATAAATTTTAGCATTTTAACTTTCCATTCTAATTATATGTTCATGTGAGATCTACGCGGGCATAATGAAATATATTCACGTTCCCCACATAAATATATATGAGGTGAGAGAAAGTTCACATTGTAAATATAGGGACATTTGCACACGACATATCCCCCAATTTCTATGTATTTAGATATATAACACCTAAAATTTACTTTTTTATATTTCTACCACAAATAATTCATAACATATCAAAAATATCATCATTCTACCTTCCAAAAGTGAAATAGATATCATGTATGTAAAAATTAAAATTTAGATATTAGATATATAAAAACATAAGAATTCAAGTATTTAAATCTTCCAAAATTGAAAACTACGAATGCAAACGAGAACAAGGTATATTGGAAATAGAATGAACAGAATCATGAAACAAAAAAAACAACGTCACCTAAGAGTTCTCTTTCTACACACAAATATTCAATCATTTTCTCATAATCAATTTTTAAAGTTCAATTTATCCCCACAATAGAATATCAAATTGAAACTTCAAAATTTTGCTGGGAAAAAACAGTGAATTATTTAATGAATATTAAATATTTTATTAAAGTTAAATAAGTCTTCTTGTTTGCTATGAATAATCCCTCTTAAGGTTAGGGCATGCAAATAAAATTGCTGATGAGCTTTAGCTCACTCCCTACCACCCAAAAATAAGACATCATCAATACCCGGTTTTAAACAAAATTTAAAATGCCTACTTATGTTTACAATTCTTTTTTATATTTCAAGTATCGTTTACTGTCAATTTACATGAATATATAAACACACGAGTCTATATACAAAGGCAATAATATTCACAAACAGGCAGCCATGAAAGGAACTTGAACAATGTTTTACATATTAATATATAACTACATATACACTGGTCGTTGCTGCTTTAATCAGCGGCTTCCAAACGCAAACGCAGAGAGACTGGCCTTGAAATGTGGTGTGTCCGGTCCGGTCCACACAGCGCAGCTCTTCGTCATGCCCAATTTTTCTTTGCTCGTAGCTGTGTGAGCTTGTTTCTCCATTGAGCTGGGTCAAAAAAGGAACACTAGTTAATCTTATATGGCACAGTTGCTGGACATTATTTCAGCAAGCTGGGTCAAAAAAGTATACTATAGTTAAATCTTATGTGGTGATCATATAAGAATGTATTGCAGTCTGTAGTCTGCATCACCAAGTGCAAATAAATACCATTCGACTACAAGTTAAGACTGCAGGCTGCACCTTTTATTTCTTAAGGTTTAACTGAGAATGGAAATGCCTAGACGGGTGACAGCAAGCAGATGAAATTCAAGAATGTGTATTAAACAAGGCCTATAAGGACAATATACGAGTAGATCTACAGTGATGGTCCAGTCCCAACTAGCCTAATTTTGTAGTGCTCAAAGTTTGGAGATAGAAGTGATATGATGAGAGCAACGATGTAGACGTATTGATGTTAAGGCTACGGGTTAGTGTACCGCGAAAACCTCTTACAACAGGTTTAGGTTAAATTATAAGTTGGCCAACCAGATTGGCCAGCAAATTCAGCATGACTGCACGGCCAGAAAGACAAGCCACTCAAATTCAGCCAGACAGCCCGGTTAGGCAGATCATTAAGTCAATTCGGCCGGTCATCCATATCATTTTAAAGGGACGAGTTCTCTCCGACAAATTAGATTGACTTCATCATGCGCCAAAAGACTGAATAAGCTGGCAAGATGCACGCCACACTTTTGGCTACTTTTTTTTGTAATTTTTTTATACATTATACATTTTAACTTTTTATTTCTTAAATAGCATTATATGGAGCACATATCAGGTCAGCACAACTTATAAATAGAGGTGGCTAAGAGAGCTATTCAGTGAGAATTCTTCCAAAAGTGACTTCCATTGGAAGAGCTGAAACTTCTTTAATCATTCCATTAAGAGAAGTAAAAAATCATAAGGAATTTTCCCTCTTTGCTCTCCAATCTCCATCTCTTCACTGGTTCTTCTCTTTTTAAAAGCTCCTCTTTTGGAAAGTTCTTTCTTAGGACGCATAACCCATGTGCGGCGAGCATGGATTAGACCACAAACCAGAAGAGGAGTTGTTCTTGAAGAAACAAGTCACGGATCACTCAATCAACATGAAATACATTTGCTAGTTTGTAGAAATTTGGGAGCAAAAAACTCTAATTAGAAAAATAACTAATATATTTGCAATTAAGACTAATCCTCTTACGAAAAGAGGAAAATTCAAATCATCATGATAAAAAGGAAATAAATAAAACACAATAATAGATAATTAAGGAAGAATAGTTTCTTCTCTCAAATGTAATCACGGACACATGGTTTCCTAAACCGTGTGCATATCAAAATTCCCCCCAAGTTAGGTTGTATATGTCATACATCCCAAACTTACCGTTGAGATCACTAAAGGTGTTGAAGAAAAACCATGATAGTCGATCCCATATAATGGAGTGAACCCTTTTGCTACAGGTATAGCCTTGAAACTTTCTATGCTCCAACATGTTTTATATTCAATGGTGAATACTCATTTCCACCCTACACTTATCCCAGATGGCAAAGTTATGATCCATGTACCATTTTTTTCAAGATCTTAAATTGAATTTGGGAGCTGCACATTATTCAAGTTCTGAACAAAAAAAAAAATTAAAAGGATAATAATTTTCCACAAGTCACAAATTCTTCTACTGGGTGTTTTGTGCATTACTGCGTTCCTTCCTCTTGGTATTCATGATGTATTGATTCAACCTCCGTGTGAATATTTGGGGTGTGTAGAGTTGGATATGGGGATTTGCATTCTTGATTTTGCATATTATCCCTTACATGCTATGTTTTTTTCTTTCTGGTGTACACAGAATTCTTGGTTCTTGGTGGGAGCTACGGAAGTATTTAATGGTGTGGTATGTTCATTTTTAGGTTAATTTGTGATAGTGGGGACAAGAGTGAGTTCATCAACGATATAAGAGATGTGTGTTTGAGGTTCCTGAATGGTGTACCCAAATATGATATTCTCCACCTCTCCCCTTGAATGCGATGTTCATTAGCTTTAAAGAGGGCAGCCTCATCCACTTGACCTGATTCAAAAGCCTTCTCCAGATTCCCAACAGCTAGATCAACTTGCTCCATTTTACTGAAGATTTCCCCAAATCCGTTTCCAATTCCATAAATTCAGTGCCTTCCCTATATTTTTTTGAAGTAACCAAAGCTGAATCCAGGGGTTATGATGCTAAATACTTTGTCATTGTTGAGAAATGACATGTAAAAATTTTGGGTGTGCAGACCACATATTCTGATATCTGAAAGGATATCTTCCATTCTTCAGACCCTGATATTGTGATGAGAAGTGGTCTATGATCAGACCCAGTCATAGTCAAGTGATGAATAGAGGTGTAAAGAAAGTTTTGAAACCAATGAGTGTTCACCAAAAACCTGTCAAATCTTTCCCAGATTTTTTCTCTCCTCTAAGTAAACTTTGGGCCCTAGAACCCCAAATCATGTAGACCAGCTTCCTGTATATCATTATTGAATTTCGTCATCCTGTGAATGTCAGAAGATCTACCTCCCAACTTTTTTATAGAAGATGAGATACAGTTAAAATCCCCCCATTGGTTTCAAAACTTTCTTCACAGCTCTATTCATCACTTGCCAAAGCTCAATTCTAGCCACCTTTGTGCAGTCAGCATACACAAAGGTAGAAAAACCTGTATTTCCATCAATATTGAATTCCATGTGTACAAATTGAGGGTGGTCCATAAGAACAGACCAAATTATTTCCTTCCTGCAGAAAACCCATATCTTGTTGTTGGAGTTAGCATAAGATTGATAATCATGTAACTTTGTAGTAATTTTTTAGGAATTTATATCATTGGCTCAAGCACAACAATACACCAAGGTTTATATTTTTTATTGAGATGGAGGAGTATTAAGGGAATTGGGATGAGCAATCTCCCAAATATTTCAGTAAAGAAAATTAATTATATCGAAGAGTTTTTGCTCTCCCACATAGTCAATCTAGAGGGAGACTCTCCCAAAATTTGTGAACTTCCACTAGCATCTATAATGTTATCATCCTGTAAGTTCTTGAGCTCCAAAATGCCTTGCTTTTTCTTCCTTGCTTTCTGAACCTGTCATTCCTCTTCCATAAGTAGTTGGAGGTCATTGGTGTTTATATTATCCCTTGGGGAGTCAAGGGAAGATGGTGCAGTGCACTACTCATCCAATTTAGGAGCCTACCCTTTATCGAGTGGAACAGTGGGAAAAGAAGTCTCTTGATCATCAAGCAGATTAGGATGGGTTGGGCTCTTTAAGGGCAACATCCTCCATCCTGTCTGAATCCAACAACTGTCTCCCCAAGAATAGAGTTTTGAACATGAGGACCTCCAGCTTCCTTAGGTTCCTCCAGCCCAACATCTCCCAAACTCCTATTGACATCTTGTCTGTTAGCAAGTGGCTCTACCACAGGACAATGAGTGTCAACAAGTGGAGCATCAAAATGAACAGTGGGAGTAATTCTAAGTTCAGGATGAGTTTTGAAACACTTATCCTAAGTATGACCAAACATTCTACAGCTTCCACAATAATAAGGCCTATACTCCATGACAACAGGCTGTCAGTACCCATTAGGAGCAGTACCAATCCATATTTCATGAACATCATGAAGGGTGATGTCCCTTTCAATCAGAGTTCTTGCAACATAAGGTCTAGTAAGGTTGAAGGTAGAAACATCCAGCTTCATAGTTCTTCTAAGTATGGCATCAAATGAGAAGAGAAATTGATGACTAAAAAAGTGTAGTTTAAGACCAAGAAATTTAAACCATATTGGAACAATTACTGGCTCTTGACTAGGATCAAAATCTGGGGCTTAAGCAACTCCATGGAATTGCCTTCAAACATGGTTTACATTTTAGAGAAAATACTAGCATAATCTACTTCTTTAGTTAAGTGGATCATTGCATGTCTCCCATCAAAATCTCCAACATTCTAGGCACCCATGAACTTAAAATCTTCAAAATAATTCATGATGAGCTCCATTCTGGGGTGTCCAAGTTGGAACTTCCCCACAAGGGTTAATTTAAAAGGGTAGGCCAAGGTATTAACTTCAGTTTCATTAACAAATAAGGCATGTATACCCCCTTCTTACCAGCCTTAAAAGGACAGATACCACGACCATCAAGAGTGTCGTGGCAGTGTTGTGGGAACACCAACTTGTCAGCATTAATGGGTGATTCAAAACTTCCAATAGCCTCAGCATAAGTAACCCTCCTGGGTGTTGTAGCTCCAGTAGTATTTAAACATAAATTTGTAAACTCATTAACAGGTCCATGAAACCAATGGAACAGTAACTCCACTATTCCAAAACAAAAAGGACCAGTTTCAGGACGACCCAGAAAGCAGAGAAAGAGAAAAACACAAAACAACCACTGAAGGAGGAAGACAACCATCACCAACCGCCATTACCGCACTCAACCCTAGCAGAGCTCGACGTTGCTATTTATAAGTAAATAAATAATTAAATATAAATTTCATAGATAGGAAATTGATACAAAGGTTTTAGTGAGCGGGTGCTAGGAACCCACTCACAAGGTATACATGACTACAAAAAAGTACCCACAATGAACAAGTATACCCCAAAAATTAGACATCGTGGAATCGTAGAACATTGACGAGCAAGAGTAGAAGAGATCAATCATGATAGGAGGTTTTTCTTTCCTCCTTCCCCTGGTTCCAGATTCCAGCAACAAATTGTGAAGGGAGTTTTCACCCGAGATGGTCAAACTGTCATCCTGAAGATTTTGTAGTTGAAGCATTCCTTTTTTCTTTCTCTTGTATATTTGAACCTGTCATTCATCCTCAATTTAGTGTTCCAACTCATCATTTTTCTCACCTTGATCCTGGCTTCCTCCAAAGTACGAGTACCTTCCCAAACATCAACCAAATGAGAGGGAGTCTCAGGAGGCTTGCTTAGACAAGGATTCTCATTAGGTTCACTGGGAGCAGTATCTGGCTGTGTAGGACTGTTTCCATTATTAGGAGTGGGGACAACAAGCAACTCATCTGTCTGGTTAACATTAGTAACGGCAGGTTCCAGTAAAGTTGCAGGATCCAAAGATGACCGTTGGATAGCATTGTAAAAAATAATATGTTGAGGAATAGATGGTTCCTGTGCATGTTGTTCAACGATAAGCTTATCTATATCCAGTTGTATTAGAATAAAAGGTTTCAACTCTGGGTGTAATCTGGAACATTTATCATGTGTGTGGTCAAACATCTTATAATGATAGCAGTAGTAAGATTTGCTCCATAATGATTTGTTGTCAGTAACCATTGTGAACAATGTCAAGCCAGATTTCTTCAACATCTGGAAGTGTAATATCCCTCTCCATTAAAACCCTTGTAGTAGAAGGCCTTGACAGATTAAAGGTAGAAATGTCTAACTGCATTGGTTTATCGAGAATAGCCCCAATAGCATATAATACTTGATGGTTGAAGAAGTGAAGCTTTATTCCCCAAAGTGTGAAGGAGCAATGTTTTTATCAACCGCTGCAGCGTAGAAGGGTTTAACCACAATTGAAGTAGGTTCAGTCGATGATGAGGGAGGTGCCATGAAATCAGAGTAGCAAAAGGCCGCAAAAACACCAAGAGGACGAGGCTAGGATAATCACCCCGACGCGAGAGTGCAGCCAACGAACACCGCTGCACAAATGTCACGACAGCGGCAAACAAAGCACCCAACAAACAAGGAAACCCGAATAGCAGAAGAGAGTTAGGGTAAAGCACGAAGCCACGAAATTGAAACGAAAACCGCGAAAACCTGCGACCCCAAAGCTGACATGGAAAAAAAAAGCAAAAATATGAATGAAAAGCACAGGAGAAGAGGAAGGATCGAACCATCATTGCGGTGGAACCCTAGATCGCCTACGCCGATGTCAGAACGCTTCCACATCAAGGATTTCTCAATATATATAAATGTCATGTGTCACATTTTATACAATTAAATTATATTGCCATGTTTGGCACATATCATTTTTGTGTCCCAATATCAGTATGTGTGCTTCATAGATATTCTACGTGATGTTCTCATATAACTGCTCCTGGGTAAATCTATCACCTCTATGCCACCAAAAGATTAAGTTAGGCATTCTGATAGAACATGTGGCATCCTGAAGGATAAAGAATAATCATGAACGTGGAATATCTAACATCAATGTAAAAAAAGAGTGAGTATAACAAGTTGGAAATACTTGAATTTGCTTATAAATTATTAAAAAAACGAGTCTTTAGAAAGAGTAAAACAAAGCCAGTATCCACTCTTGTTGGTTTGATGAAATAATAATTGCAACATGAATGTACTTCTATGGTGGGTTATCATTGGGTGTAGGAGCTACAGAAAAGGCAAGCTCCAGTTTTAAAAAAAAAAGTTCAAAATATGTCAACTAAGGCAAAGAAAGCTTTAGCAATCCTGATGATTCGCATGAGCACAACAACAAGTCTTTATCCCACTAAGGGTCTGTTTGAGACAGCTGCAGCTTCTCAGCTTTTCAGCTACAGCTTAGCTGCCCCAAGAAACTGCTGTGGGAAAGCTACGGCAGGGAGGCTGGATGGTTGTTTGTTGTAGTTGTTTGACAACAGCTTTATGATAGTTGTTTTTAGACAAATGATCATTATGCACCTATTGAGTAAAACTGTTTGTAAATACATAGGAATTTAGTGGTATGTATGTAAATCTTTATTTACATATTAGTTATTAATCATATTAATTATATTAATAACAATTACATATAAATTTATTGAATGATTTTAAAACTAAATTATTTATTAATTAATAATTATAAAATAATTGCAATTTTTTAAATTAAAATCAATCAGTTAAGTTTGAGTGTGGAATTAAAATACATTTACTCATATTTTCTAGGTTAATCAAGTTTTATATTAATTCCATTAAATCAAAAACCAGCATGAAACAGTTGTTTGAAGCTATACAGTAACCAAAATCTTTCGAAGTGATGGAAACCTAAAAACCATCCCATGGAGAATGAACAATAAATAAATGAAGGTTGGATTTACCTTTAAGTGAATCCGCCAACAGTAAACTCCTATTGTAGTCCTTCTCTGCTTTCATTAACCACCACTCGAATAACAAGACCTATAAAGAAAAGGAATAAGAACCAGAGTCGAATATTGAAGTCATTTTGAACGAATGGAGAAGGAGAAAGGAAATCGCGCCTCTTTCTGCTGAACAGGGGGAATACGAGGGATTTCCGGCTTGAGCTTCGGTGATGGCCTAGCATCCGCCGACTTGGACCCCATGTGTGAGACCGAAGAAATTGAAGGCCTCCTGGGAAACGTTCTTTTCCGCGTGGGTTCGGCTTCGCCAGAAGCTAGGGAAGAAGAGGCTTTGGGGAGACAATGAGGAGGCAGGAGAGGGTTCGGGAGACGTGGGGAGCGCGGGGCAATGATTCATTATTAGAACATAACGCGGGGCCGTGGGTCGATCTTGCAGCCTGCGCCTAATTTAGTGGCGGGCAACCGCGAACGCAGCATCCAAACGAGAAAAAAAATTCGCGATTTGGGGCAGCGCCGTGCAAAAGAAGCGGCCCCAAACGGACCCTAACTGGGATCAGCTACATGAATACTTTTTTTCCACTGCGTTCTATTAAATATCATATTTTCATTTTATTCTAATAGATAAAGATTATTTTATTTTTTATACAATATGCCCAAGTCTTTCTAGGTTTACCTTTGCCTTTCTTAACATCTTAACATAAGTCGACATTTACTCTCCTAATAGGATCATCGATGGTCGGTGTTTAATGTGACCAAACCATCTAAGACGACCCTCTCTAACATTGTCCACCACTGGAGCCACACCAACCCTATCACGGATATATGCATTTCGCATTTTGTCTCTAAGTGTCAAGCCATTCATCCACCTAAGCATTCTCATCTCAGCAACACTTAACTTTGTTTTTTGGTTAGATTCAACGCCATAGAGTATTGCAGGTCTCACCATAATCATATAAAATTTTCCTTTAAGTTTAAGCAATACTTTTCTATCACACAATAAGCCTGATGAATTCCTCTACTTCAACCTAATAAATTGAATTCTACTGATAACATCCCAATCTAAATCAACATCACTTTGAACACTAGACCGAGATATCTAAAACGATCACACCTTTTAAAGATTTCATCACCCACAGTTACAACTCCGCCGCTAGAGTTACTACTATTAAAATTACATTCCATGTAGTCAGGTTTAGATCTACTCAAACAAATGCCTTTAGATTTTAATGTAGACCTCCATAATTCAAATTTTTCTTGAACTCTTTCTCTGGTCTTATCCACAAGAAGGATATCTAGATGATTGGCATGAGCACATAATAAAAAATTTACATTTTCACAAATTTAAAGGCACCTCCACCCAAATAGCATATAGCCAGCCCCTACAGTAATTAAAAACAATAATAAACTTTAAATTTTCAAAAAAGATTATACTAATCATTTGATGAAAAAGAAAAGTAATTATACTGTACCTGCATCTCTATAACGTTCTTCAACAGCTGCAATCAACATATTACGAACCAAATTGAACTCCAGACTCTCCATGCAAGGTTGACCATCCGGCCTGTTGTAGTACAAATTGGGTCAGAAATACTTCGTATGACAACCCCTTCCTTTCTTCATGATGAAAGGTAAAATCCAAGACCAATCAATTAAAAGGAGAAAAGTTTCATTCATTCTATTCATCAATCCATGTGTACATATACATGTTATAAATTCCAAGACCAATCAATTCAATAGTTGAAATGAATTGACAAATCAAAAAAATGAAAGCCCAGGGATTCACTGTTGTTATCTTTATCTTTCTTCTCCCTTTATTTTTTCATTGCTACAAAATCTATAATCCTGCTGCTTGCCATACATCAATCTTTCTCTCTGATAAAGTACACAAAATAATGGGAAACAAATGAAAATAACTGTCTGAGACAATGATGTGGCAGGTAGTAATAAATATGAAAAGCATTCTACCTATCAAGCTCTGTGAACAGTAGCCCATCAGCGATGGAAGCCTGGACTACTTTGGATGGTTCAACAACCCTCACACCATCAGTATATGCGAGCTGTCTGTTTACTTGAATTGGCACCTGCTTCAGCTCAGAGAACAAGCTACTTTAAACTCATCTATAGGCCAAATTACTCGGAGAATCAAGATATCCTAACAAAAATTTGATCAAGATAGGTCTTAAAATAGTTGGGTTTGTTTTGAGATGTGCGCAATATTAATTTTGATTGACTACCCAAATATTACACTAATCTCAAAGCAAATTAAATGGTTTTGGGATCCATCCTGAGCAAAATTTGGTCAAGATATCCAACCATATTTTTTTGTTAAAATAGAAATGAGAAAAGATTATACCTTGCATCGCACAGCCATATTAATGGCATCGGAAGGACGAAGGTCAAAGCTGATGCATTCTTTTTCATTCCCCACCTATCAATTAATAATTCAATTATCAACGTAAAAAATGAGTCAACTAAAGCATTTGCAGGACCTCAGATAACCTTTTTAAGGTAAAGCTGTGCAAAATATGCTTCGTGAACTCTTTTAGTAACACGAACAAGTTGAACCTGAACAATTAGAAGCATTATGGATTATGGCATCCAATCATACAAATAAGAGATGAACCATTCCTATAAAGTCAAGAACACTATGTTTAATGCTCAAACATGACACAACCACATCCGATCGCTATACATGTATGACGCACTAAAAAAATGACCAAGAACACATCAACAACCGAGTAAAATATACAATGTGATCAATAACTCACCTGATAGCCCATTTTCTCAATCATCTCCCTGACCACCTGATAGATGGTTGGTCTAGCCTACAGACATCAGTGAGATTCATCAGTTTTCAGGAGAAAGCTAGCTAAACTATAATTCAAACGGTGCAAACAAGTAGAAGTGTGTATCATTACAATTTGAACGTTTCGGATGGCAGCCATTAGCAGAATGCTTGGCATCTCCACTGCGAAAAAAGAGTACTGGAGATCACTCTACTGAAAATGGATAGCCTAAAATAAGGTTAAAAAGTAAAAAAAAACAAAATAACATACAGACTATAATTGGAAATAAAAGATCACTTCCATCTTCGATTTTCAGCACAATAGCAGGATGGGGAGCATAATCTGGCAGATTTCCTCCTTGGGGATTGTTGTGAACACATCTCAAATTCCGACCATCACGCATTTTAATCAAGAAGCCATCTGAACTACTTTTAACTTCGACTGCAGAGTGTCAGCTAACTGTCATTAGCACAAACCTCTATGTTTCTCAAATTGAGTTCTACAACTGTTATTTCAAAGAAAAAAAATGGGCTTTTGTTTACTTCTTATTAAGTAGAAGTTTGGGAGAATTTTACAATAACTGCATCCAAAATAAATATATCAAACACAGTACAAATAAATGCAATTAGCTACATTAGTTATTTTTAAAAGAATTAATGAATGGATTTTTTAAAAATAAGACGTGCATTTTAGGCCCAACCATCAATAATGATGAACAGCAGAAAATATGGTGATGAAAATCATCATCTATTACAATTGAACAATATCCATTCACAGAGCATATAACATAAATAAGTTTTGAAATCATTGTGATACACAGCTAATGAAAAATAGCCAGAAAGCTAGACATAATTTATAGACAATGAAAAGTCAAAAAAAAAGAGTCTATCACAGCAGGGAGGCCTTCACATAAGAAATGAATAAAAAATAAATAAATCAATAAGTGAATAAACTTCGGAATGTAAATGATCCGAAGACATCTCAGCTAGGGTTTGTTTTGAGCAGTAACTTCGTTGCATTCAGTTTCGCCAATATTCTTGATGTTCCATCATTAAACACAAGTATATCTAATGAATTCACTCAGAAAATATGAAACCTCATTAAAAGGTAAAAAATACATAGCAGATGCACAAGGCTCCCACCAATATGGCATTTAGGAAGGCTTCATGTACAAAGTCTAACATGAACTACAAAAATTGCTTCGAGACATGAATCCCTGACCTTTAAGGCACAATGGAGACATCCTAAACATAAAGCACAAAAAAAGAGAAACAAAAGACTAACATGAATTTAAAAGTGTCACCTAGTCTAATGCAATACGAACCAGCAGTTCATGCATGGCATGACAAGCGGTTTTGGGAGCACTTATCCATAATAAAGATAAAGAAAGTATTGCCAAATCAAACTGGACTGCCGTGATTTATTTAATAATGAAAAGAGTACAGACATATTAATTTGAATAATGCTGACATAAGTTAAACTTTATTTTGAATTCAATGCAAAACCCAAGCATTTTGTTTGTAGTTGAAGTCAGTTTAATCAGTCAACAAATCCAAAATGGGAGTGGCATCGATGCCCCTAGAATTGATTGTGGTCTGACAAGTCGCTCAACATAATAACCACCGTGCAATAAAAAATTCAAAGCCAACTCTCGCAAGCAACCCCAAAAGGGCATCATATTCTAAGTCACACGAGCCCACAGATAACCTATGAAATAGATAAGGGCCACCAACAACATGTTAGTTATCCTAAATCCAAGTTAGTCACAGCAAGTTAGTCACAGAACATGAGTGATACAAAGAAGCTCCCGAACTAGCATCCATGAGAAAAGGAGAGGATAAAAGGAGTACTTTCTTTCAATAAAGAATAAGCTCCTATGGAATAGGTGATGCCTTGTTTAAAAAACTGCAGGGTACACCCATTTTAAAATTTTCACTCAAGGGCTATTTGGCTAGATGTTTCAAAGCGAAAGTAAACAATATATAGGAGTTCTAAAACTTCAGACTTTTGAATGAAGAAAATATAAATACAAAATAATTATTGACGAATTTGGAATACTCTCATTAGTTCATTTTCAATGCAATATGAATTTAGTCAAATCTTCAAAATACAACATGTGCTACCCTCTGAGACTATGCAGCACGACTCTTACAATCTCATTGCATGACCCTAATATTTTGTCGTGGTAAGACCCCCACTAGCCCATGACCTCAAGCAAACCTAAATATCCTCAAAACCTCCAAGTAAGTGACCTAGAAATCACTGCGGCATATCGACCTTCACATTGATGACCTTGCAGCTCATGTCCCTGATATGTCCATGTCCTATAATTGATTTCGATTTACTTTCAAAAAAATAAAAAAGATATTTCAACTGTTTCTTTTTTTACATCATAAAAAAAAATCTTTAAAAATCAAAAAACAATACATCCAAATTACACTTCATTTAAAATATGGAGGTATCCTTAATACTTTAAACGAATAGCCCTTTAAAGGTAATGTGTATTATCCTTCCATCTTCGCTCGGTTCTATAGAGCACAGCTTGCAAGAATATGCATATTGCACCTTTGCAAAGGTAAGGCTGATATTTACATCCCTTGGATTTTTTTTTTTTTTTTTTTTTTTTTTTTTTTTGGCCTTCATTATTATTATTTTTATTATTTCATATATAAGGATCTTATCTCAAAAATCATACCTGTCTTTTTTGGTGTAATGTATGGAGGTTCTCCTGAAGGTCACTACAAATCAATCTTGGAGAAATTGGGGAGGTTCCATTATAAGTTATCTTGTTATTATTTCTTTTTCTTAGCAAAGCTCTACAGGAGATACTTGGTACGACGGAAAGATTTTATTTGAACCTGGTGCTATATGCACCATCTACAAATATCTTTCATGGCAGGATGAAATATTCACTTTTGTTTGTCATGCCTAATGCAACACCTGCAATACGTGTGTAGTATACTCCTCACTAAAACCTTCATAGAGGAGCATAGAAACTCTACTAAACATCATCTAGCATAAATTCATAAGAATATAGGACCATGTCCAACAATTCTAGATGAAGTTAAACGAGATATTTTAAAATATTTTAATGCATTTATAACAACAAAAATCAGCATTAACAAAGCATGGATGAAAATTTTGAGAATAGAACATACTTAGGTTATGTAGGCTTTAGATTTTCTGATACTACTATTAGTCCTTGTCGGCGTTTAAAAGGGGGAAGTTGCGTTTGGGGGTCGCCCGTAAGAAGCTGTCGGCCGCCGGAATCGAAATCCCGTCGCGCGCTTCGGAATGACTTTTTTTAATTTACATATATATATATATATAATTTTAGAAAAATATGGAATCAAACTGACCTCATATTTTTCACAGTTTAAATGAAAGAGCGCTCTACCTCAAATCCTGTATCTATCCCGAGGGATAAACACAAGACTTGAGGGTGAGGCTCAATCAAATAAACTAAGAAAGATATGACATCCGTTTGGGTCTGCGAAACCATTTTTATTTGCCGACAAGTTCCCCTATTTAATACAAATAATTAAATAGGGTTTATTTTAAGCTGGGTTCGGAAAAGCTCCCTATAAGGGCAAGCCCCTATAGTTAATTACATCTCAAATGACCGAAGTCACCTAAGAAAACTCTCGATAAAAATCAGGGAATAATGTCTT